TTTTTTTCCATTTTTCTTTATTAAGAAATTTTCTACTCACTCCACATACTATCCACAGATTCACCCTCCTCCCTCCCACCCCCAGTCCTCTTTCCCAAGCCACCCCACATCCCCATATCCCCCAAATCGCGGTCTCCCATAGGGAATCAGCAGAGCCCAGCACACTGAGCCTAGGCAGGTCCAAGTCCCTTCCCACTGCACCAAGGGTGTGCAAAGCGTCACACCTCAGGCACCGGATTCCCAAAAGCTTGCTCATAGACCAGAGACAGATACTGATCCTCCTGTCTGGGTGCCCCCCAAACAGTTTGAGCCAAACAAGCGTCTTCCATATCCAGAGGGCCTAGTACAGTCCTATGGGGGCTCCACAGCCACCAGTCTACAGTTCATGGGCTTCCACTAGTGTGGCTGGTCATCTCTGCACGTCCTCCCATCATGATCTTGACGTCCCTCACCTGCAGAATCTCTCCTCTCTCTTATCAATTGGATTCCTGGAGCTCAGCCTGATGCCTGGCTGTGAATCTCTGTATCTGCCTCCATCAGTCACTGGACAAAGGCTCTATGATGACAGCTAGGATATTTGCTAGACCAGTCACCAGAGTAGACCAGTCCAGGCACCCTCTGGACCACTGCTAGCAGACCAAGTTGGGGTCAACCTTGTGGATTCCTGAGAGCCTCCCCAGCACCCTGCCTCTTCCTATTCCCATGATGTCCTCATCTATCATGGTATCTTCCTCCCTGCCCTCCCACTCTGTCCCTGTCCTAGATTGACCCTCCCATTCCCTATGTTCTCATCCCCTACTCCTTGCCCTCTGCCACCTCCACATGCACCCAGTCTGCTCATGTAAATCTCATCCATTTCTCCTTCGCAGGGTCACCCATGTGTCCCTCCTAGGGTCTTTCCCTGTTAGCTAGCCTCTCTGGAGTTGTGGGTTGCAGTCTGGCCATCCTTTCCCTCACATCTAGCATTCACTTATGAGTGAGTGAGTACATACTATGTTTGTCCTTCTGAGTCAGGGTTACCTCACTCAAGATGATATTTTCTAGTTCCATCCATTTGCCTGCAAATTTCATATCATTGTTTTTTACTGCTGAGTAGTACTCTATTGTGTATATGTGCCACATTTTCTTTATCCATTCTTTAGTTGAGGGGCATCTAGGTTGTTTCCAGGTTCCTGCTATGATGAATAATGCTGATATGAACATAGTTGAGCATGTGGCCTTGTGGTAAGATTGAGCATTCCTTGGGTATATGCCCAAGAGTGGTATAGCTGGGTCTTAAGAAAGACTTATTCCCAATTTTCTGAGAAACCACCATACTGATTTCCAGAGTGGTTGTACAAGCTTGCATTCCCACCAGCAGTGGAGGAGAGTTCCACTTGCTCCACACCCTCTCCAACATAAGATGTCTTCAGTGTTTTTGATCTTAGCCATTCTGACAGGTGTAAGATGGTATCTCAGAGTTGTTTTGATTTGAATTTCCCTGATGACTAAGGATGTTGAGCAATTCCTTAAATGCCTTTCAGCCATTTGAGATTCTTCTGTTGAGAATTCTCTGTTAAGCTCTATAGCCCATTTTTTTTTTAAACTGGATTGTTCAGTATTTTGATGTCTAGCTTTTTGAGTTCTTTATATATTTGGAGATCAGCCCTCTGTCAATATGGGGTTGGTAGAGATCTTTTCCCATTCTGTTGGCTGTCATTTGGTCTTTTTGACCATGGAGAGGACTGAATCTTGACTGCTATCTTTCATACTATGCAAAATCAACTCCAAGTCACCAAATAATTCAATGCAAGACCTGTAAAGCTGTGTGTGAACCTATAAAACTAGTAAGAAGCATGGAGGCAAGAAATCAAGGTGTTAGCACAGGTGGCCATTTTCTAAACATGACACCTAAACAGGAAACAGAATCAAGAATTGAAAAATGGGATGGCATCAAAGTGAAGACCGCACAGCACAGGAAGTTATCAACAGTGTGAAGGGACTACACCCAGAATAGGGGAAGTGTTTGCCAACTCTTCACCTGAAATAGTTAATATCCAGAATGTATAAAGAGCTCAAAGGAGGCCATGACAATAATACCCCACACACCTAATGCCATTCAAAAATGATCTAATAGACACCTCCAAAGAAGAAACACCACAAATGGCCAAACAGATATATGAAAATACCAATGAATATTGTGAAGCCAAATATGAAGGCCTAGACTTGACTTCACAGGCGCCATCTTAGGGAAGGACCACCATCTTAGACCACCTGGTAACCAGGGACTTTATTCAGTTCTAGGAAGACTCTCAGGAATGTACCATGACAACTCAAACAGATACACTAGAAGAAACCAATTAAAAAATAGAGCAGTAAAGTTTAACAAGATCCAGATATTCCTGCAGACATCCTGTTGGTGGTTTATGGCCCTTGCAGATATCCAGATATCCTGTCAGCCGGTTGTGGTTCTGCACCAAAAATAGTTTCAAATGTGGTTTTGTGCCAAAAGTCTAGACCAATTGTGGTGGTATTGTGTTCCTCAAAATATTGTGCACCCTAATAAACTTATCTGGGGTCAGAGAACAGGACAACCACTAGATACAGAGGCTAGAAAATGGTGGCACTTACACCTTTAATCCTAGCACTCCAGAGGTAGAAATCCCTCTGGATCTCTGAGTTCAAGGCCACATTGGAAACAGCCAGGCTTGGTGACTCACGCCTTTAATCCCAAGAAGTGAGCCTTTAATCCCAGGGAGTGATGGCAGATAGCAGAAAGATATATAAGGAGTGAAGACCAGGCTTGTTAAGCTTTCAGGCTTTGGAGCTGCACGGTTCATCTGAGACCCATTCAGATGAGGACACAGAGGCTTCCAGTCTGAGGAAACAGGACCAGCTGAGGAACTGGCAAGGTGAGGTAGCTGTGGCTTGTTCTCCTTCTTTGATCTTCCAGCATTCACCCCAAACCTGTCCTCAGGTTTGATTTTATTAATAAGACCTGTTAAGATTCATGCTACAACCAATAGTTTCAAAAAAGTCACCTTGCCCCATATTCCTTTTACCCAATCCCTCCACAAAAATGCCAAGGCATGTAATTCCTGGCTTGTGTTTTTTTTTTCCTTTAAAAACTCTCCTACCCCAGAGCCCACTGCTGCTGCCACATTTCCCTCCATCCACTTTGTTGGAGCATAGGGGGACAGTCTGGGTTCGAACCTGAAAATAAAAAGACCCTTGTGTGCTTGCATTGGAAACTGGCTTCCTGGTGGTCTCTGGGGGTTTCGAGACATGGGTACAGCAAATATCACTATATCAGGGAAATATAAATCAAAATTACAAGTAGGTACCGAGTCACCACAGTTAGAAAGAAATAGCAAAACTACACTCTGAAGATGATTCCTTTTGGGGGTAAATTAGGATGGCAATTAAACTAAATCAGGTATAAAACTAAAACACAGCAAGCACATGATCCAGCATCTCACTCCTTCCCTGTCAATACTCCTACACAATAAAGAGGTCACTACTATACATTCTCCTGTTCATTGTGGTACCATTCACAGTAGCTATGATAAGGATCAGAGTGGATGCTCAACACGTGAATGAATGGATAGAGGAAACAAGGTCTGAGCACAGTAGCCAATAATACAACTTTAAACATAACAGAGGCTGCCATTTCCATAGAATGGATGGAACTCAGATAAGTAAGGGAAGTGATCCAGAAAGGCATGTGGTGTGTGTTTTCTCCTGTAGATCAAAGCTAAAAATGCTTGGCCTGAAAGTAGAATAACAGCTGTTGCTGCTTGTGAGCAACGTTCAGTGGGTGTATGGAAAGGAGGGCTTGGATTTAATCTGAACTTGTATACAGGCATGTGCAGTCTTCACACTTACAGATAGCACCCTAAAACCCATTCAGATGAGCAATATCTTTGAATAACAAAAGGAGGAGAAAGAAACGTTTAAAAGATGTAGCTGTCCTCATTCCACTGGGATGGCAAATCTAGAAGCTAGACCTCTTTCTTCCTTCCTCCCTTGCTTCCTCCCTCCCTCCCTCCTTCTCTCCCTCCCTCTCTACTTCCCTCACTCCCTTTCTCTGTGTGTGCCCATGTGTGCACATGTACGCATATCTATTTCTGTATATGTGTATCTATATTTCTAAAAGGTTACCAGGTTATATCAAATCCTCTATCTCTAATCAACTACCAGAGGTTTCCATCTTCCTGTTTCTCAGATTTGAACTTACATGTCAGTAGCTGTATTGACACTTGTTTATTCCCTTCGTACATGAGCAGTCTTTCCCCAGCCCCACCATTGATGTTATAAACAGACTGTCTCCTCAGCAGCAGGCTTGCCGTTTTCCCCATCTCCTCTGCCCCAGCTCTAGAAGCTAGACCCCGCACTACCCTCCCCTCATTTCTCTTGGGGTCCAGGTCCTGCAGATCACATCAGCCTTATTTGTCTCAGAGGAAGAGAAATGTTTAAGACAAGGAATGGGAAAGAGAGAAAATGTTTGAAAACAAAATTTAAATTAAAATATGCGTGCTACCCAACCATGCAAAGATATGCATAAATATGAAGCCAGGTTGGTAAATTTCCCAGGCGGGATCCTGCAAATGGCTTCTCTCTCATGAGCTTTCAAATATGCAGCTAGATGCCTTGCCAGCAAATATTGTCCTTTAACTTGGTTAAGTATGTATCCACTTAACAATCTGTTAACGTACAGCACATATCTACCATTCCAGTGTGCTGCATTAGAATTTCTCAGCGAATGTTATTATTTCATTCTTTTCTATAAAAGGAGAGAATTTTACCTCTATGCTAATATTTGTCAATGAAAATACATTGTACATTTGAATAGAGTTCGGTGTGACAAGTAATGCTGCACCTTAGCTAAATCATAACCTCCTGCTGCTGTTTTATGCTTCTAGCCCCATGGATGTGGGTGTGGCTCTCTGCAGAACCCCTCCCCTTTACTTTTTCTACAGCAGCACTCTAACAAGACCCCCAGTTCTGAAGTGATCCGGACATAAGCGAACATTCCATGCTCAATGTATCTTAAATATAAAAGCCAAGTCCTTTAAAAGTAGCATGATAAGTGTGTGCTTCAGACACCAGCTGGTACCATCTTCATGGTCACACACAGATGCCCCTCATCCAGTCATCAGGGGGCCAGCCCTGATTTCAGAATCGAAGTCTGCCAGGGAGTAGATACTGTAGTTTTCTTGTCTCCCCACTTTGCAGCTCTCCAAGCCTAAATGACTGTCGTCCATCAATTCAATCTCTCAGTGTCACACACACCACCATCCTTAACTTTCTACAGTGTTCCATGCCGCAGGCATGGTGATATGTTTATAATAAACATCACATGATTCCACCTCTTCTCCTTAAAGTCCTGAAGTATTCTTAACCAGCTACCGTGTCCTGAAAAGGCTGAAAGAGCAAGCTAGCATTTGCTTATTTCTCCTTTCTCTGTGATCCGCTGTACTAATGCTCCGTTTCCAGGACTCACGTCCCTAAGCTGCCATGGGGACCTTGCACTTTCTCATTGGCCCAAAGTGGTAAGCTTTCGCTCACAGACTCCACCAAAGCTAGCTCTTATCTCTCACTGATACAGCTAGTTTAAGGGTTCCCTCTTCAATAATAGGTCTTCCTCATCCACCCAATCTAAGCGATGTCACCACACACTCTTGGGCTGGCATCCCTCACAATGTTGACCGCCACTACGCCTTTAAAGTATGCATCATGCTTTAGAATTATCCCACAATCTTTCATACTTGATGTTCAAACACATGCATGGATCATGAAGGTACATTGGCCTGGGTACCCCTGGTCTCAAACCATTTTCATGCAGGTGATCTGTTTGGGGGAAGTGCTGGTATCCAAAGGGCGGGCTGGCACAAACCGCAACAGGGAAGGCAGAGGAGGTTGTACAAGAGCATTTATTCAGTTAGTGAATAAATAATTTGTGTGACAAATAATGCTGCACCTTAGCTAAATCATAACCTCCTGCCACAGAAGAGAATCTGGAACTCTCTCACTGGGACTCTTTCAGCCGGGTAATGCAGGCCTGCCACTGAGTGTCAGCAACACATACTAAATATAACTGTTCTGCCCTACACCGTTCTAGTCTCAGGGACCCACATGCCGTGCACGCATGAATATTAGGCTGATTTCAAAAGCATCCACTATTCTTGCTGCAGAGAAATCTCTGGGCAGAGAGTCCAGAGCTGAGGTCAGAAGCTGTGGATTTCACTCAGGGTGAAAATGGCTGTCCCCGCAGCGTCTACGTGACAGGTAGCATGAGAGCGGCCCACCAGAAAGCTCACATGGGACTTTCTCCCTCCTATCATCCACCATCTAAAAACAAGTCCACAGTGAAAGCATGCATTGTTTCAATGTGAAAAGACACGACTAAATGAAAGTTCTCAGTGAAAGACAGTTGGAAGGCCCGGGTCCCAAACTGAGGCATCACAAGGACCAGGGCAGAGAAGTAGCTGGTAGAAATGTGGAACCCATGCCGTTTTGCAGTTTTGTCAAGATGAGCCGGAGATTACTTGTGTCTGGAATGGAGACTGTAGGAAGAACGTTTCTCTCTAGCCTGCCTATTCCCAAATACCCAGCAGCCTCTTCTTAAACAATTGACTCAGAGGCTTAATATTACTTATGAATGCTCAGCTGGTAGCTCAGGCTTATTACTGACTACCTCTTACACTTAAATTAACCTATAATTCTTATCTATGTTTAGCCACGTGGCTTGGTTTCTTTTCTCAAAATGACTACCTCTTACACTTAAATTAACCCATAATTCTTATCTATGTTTAGCCATGTGGCTTGGTTTCTTTTCTCAAAATTCTCATCTTGCTTCCTTTGTGTCTGGCTGGTGTCTCCTTGACTCCACCATCTTTCTTCCCAGCATTTTTAGTTTGGTTTTCCCGCCTAACTTCCTGCTCAGCGACCAGCCAATCAGTGTTTTATTAAACCAATTAGAGTGGCAAATCTTTACAGTGTACAAGAGGATTATTCCACAGCAGAGACAGTTACATATCTCAGGGGATAAATCGATAGGTGAATGAGACACTGAAAGCTAGTAATCACTTTTCTTAATAACCAACATATTTAACTTCAGAAGACTGAAACAAGGATTTGAATACTTAACCATCATCAGAAGGAAATGCAACCTTTCATCACACCCAAGAACACCTGTGGATGCATTTGGGACACTGGGGTATTTTCATAATAATGCCTTTTAGCATGAAAATGGAGTGAAGCAAACGAACAGGAGATATGTCTCTATTTTAAGTTTTATGAGTTCTAGAGCTAGAAAAACAAAGTTCATTTCTGCATACCTTGAACTTATCAAGTATCTAAAACAAGACTGACCACATTCTCTTAGTGAACTTGCCCTTTTCTGACATTCATAACCACTGCAAAGGACTCTTTCTGTGTGCAGTGTGCGCCCCTTAAGGCATGGCACTCCTGTAACCTAACAGTCTGCCATTATTCGATGTCTGCTTTCTTGGAAGCTCACCAGCTGTTAACAGAGACAGCTCTACTGTCCCAACTCTATCTTTGGTGTTTGTAGATGACCTGCATTGTCTTACTGAGTGCTTGTTTACTCTCTACCTCACTTATCTGTACTTTTCAGGTTTTTTTTTTTTTTGTTGTTGTTGTTATCAGAATATTGGCATTGTCCCCTCACCATTTAGCAGTTGAGTTCCCAGGGGTCTAGGAGAAAAGGGTCTCCCCAAATGACTGATAATGTCAGGTGCTATTCGAGTTCTTCTGGTCCACATCTCACATCACTTTGTATCTGTAGTCTACAAGGGATCTGAGAATAGTCAGAATTACCTTTAAGAAGTAAAATGTAGGGGTGGACAAGATGGCTGATGGGTACCTAAAGTTCCCTGCCACCAAGCCAGAACTTGAGTTCCATCCCTGGGAGCCACATGGTGGAAGGAGAGAACAGACTCCTTCAAGTTATCCTCTGACCTCCACATGTATGCTGTGGCCTATACCACACACACCCCCAATTAAATATTTGATTTGCTATTTCCTCCCTCTCATTGATAGGGTTCTGATAGAAGTATCTACCAAAAATAAAGGCAGGAAAGCCAGCTAGTGGTTAGAGGATGAGAAGATCTTGAGACAGAGAAATGGTGGCTAAGTCATAGGGTAATAAGAGAAACTAAAAAGGAAGTTCAGCAGACATGTCTTTAGCATCATGCAGACCTCGTCCAGTGTGCCCAAGGAGATAGAAAAATGGAGCATATTTCAAATTATTGAACTTGTATCCACCACCTGCCAGGCGTGATGCTTAGGCACAGCCCCTATATTCATCTTTTTAAAACTGTCAACATTATTTCAAGTAGCTGTGCATATTCTCCAAATTCCTAACAGGATTAGATAGAGGGAGCTCAAATTATTGACAAGCTCAATGACACACAGCCTGACGATAGTGGGCGAAGACAACATCCTGTCCAGGAAATGATCAAAATTAGCACTTCAGAGGCAAATCAGTGGATGGAAAAAAAAAAAACAAGTAGGAAAAAGGAGATTCTGAAAACATATGGAGATGCTGAGAAAAGAATGCTTCCTTTAAAAGAATTTGGACGGCTGAGTTGAGGCTCAGTGGTAGAACACTTGTCTAGCAGGTGCAAGACCCTGAGTTCGGTCCCCATCACTATCAACAATCAAATCAAAAATGAGAGGATAGTGGCTAGAAACTGCTGACTGGCCTCGAGGCTCCTGAAATGCAACTTGGGCAAGCATCTCTAGGAGCTGACACTCTTTCCACCCAGGCTGCAGGACAAGTGAGTTCCTCTGCTGCTGTATTCTCACACCCGACCCTCTTGAAAACTAATCAAATCTGCATTAATAAGTCTCCAGGTGTCTGGTGAGACACTGACTTATTCTAATGTCCAGAAGCTAACACAGTGCATTTTACCTGGTCCAGGCTTGAGGCAGTCAATGCTGGAGAACTCTGAAGATATTCACAAAGCCTCCAGGTGGCACAGAGAGTTCCTTATTTTTAGACTGCACTGTCTCGATGTCTCAGAGAAATTGCACATTAATTTTAACCCTCAAAACATGTCTTGAAAAGGAATCAACTGCCTCGTGACTTTGCTTGCCAGAACAAAGGCAAGTAAGGAAATCCAAGGACATTTAAACAAGGTATGGATATTGAGTTAGACCCGTCACTTCCATCTCCCTTATGACTCTCAAATAGATACCAGATCCAACCACCTGGGAGGGGGGCCCTGCTGAGGCGCCCCCACAATAATGAGGCAATAAGGAGACAAAGTAGGTGTAAATCACATCTGTGGGGTTTGCTCCCTGCTTCTGTTGATTTGTCAAAACACTTTATCATGGAAAAAGCACCAATGAAAACAACTTTTTTTTTTTTTTCCCTCTGTGTAACCGAGAGACAGCATGCTTCGGGGACCGTGCTGGCCTACACAGCCGGTGATCCTCCCACCGAAAAGCCCCGTTAGCATTTCTCCCGGAGCTTTGGGAGTCTGGTTCTTGCCCCCTTTTTATCATGTTTTACCCTGTTCCTGTGTGAGGCTCTCTTCCAGTTAAGGATTTAAAGCTTGCTCTCATGTACACAGGAAATCAGATTTATATCTTTGTACCGCAAAACGAAGCAATTATTTTGTCTGCCGATAGATTCCACTCTTCCTGTGCACTGGGCCCCCGCACTGCCCACTGTTGTCGGCGAGGCAGAGACACTATGGTAAGCTTCATTAAGGAGAGCCCTGCTGATACTGACCATTGATCCAGCAGCCAGCTCAGGTGCATTTGGACGCAGCATTTTCTCCCTCTTCTCTACTTCTCTCCAGGGATAGCCAATCAGTAGAAACGACCCTTACGCCTAACATTTTGAGAGAGAGGGAGCAGTTTGATTTCAATTGTCAACCTGTCCACTAGCTGGGTAAATCAAATTCCAACCTCCTACGGGGAAAACTAGCAGGCAACCTTCCTGGGTACCCTGTGCATGTTTGGATATGTGGAAGTGTCTGAGATCTGGTCTTTCCATACATTTGATGGCACAGATCATTATGGGGACTTAAAAAAATATGCAATTCAAATGCATTCACTCTCTAGAAGAAGGAAAATTGTGAACTTTAAACATACCATTGTTTCCAGGAACGTATTATACAGCCATCAGATACGTAAAATGAGCAGGCTTAAATGTGGTCCACATTAAGAGAAACCATGCCCTCTTTCTATTTGTTGGCAAATATGGAAAAGTATATTTTAGAAAGGTTGAGCTCCCCTAGTCATAAACCTATGATATTGATTTCTTTAAAATATGAAAGTTTCCCATAAAAGAGCATTTTCTTCAGCTAATGCTAACAGCAAAGCAGTACAAATGGTCACAGACCTGAACGCTAACCCTATTGCCAACCCCCGTGGTCATGCAGGTGTGAAATGGGCATGCTTTGCCAGCTTTCTCATACCCGCCATTCTCTAAGTGTGTCCACCTGCTCAAAGAGCCGTTCCAGGGACACAACACAGTTTAACTCCAGAGATCCAACATCTCTGCCTTCTCTGTTTGTTCACTTATGCTACATGGCTTTGGAGATTTAAACCAGTTTTGAATTTCATATGTTGGTATTTTCATTTTTTTAAAAAATTTTATATGATGGAATTTTCTTTTTTTTTAATGTATTTTTTTTTAAATTTACAATACTATTCAGTTCCACATAACAGCCACAGATTTCCCGGTTCTCCCCTCTCCCGCCCCCCTCCCCTTCCCCCTAGCACACCCCCCCCTCCCACCACCTCCAGATCAAGGCCAACCCCGAGGACTGAGATCGACCTGATAGACTCAGT